CGTGAGCCATGGCCGCTGAGCCTGCGCGTCTGGAGCCTGTGCTCCGCAACAGGAGAGGCCACAACAGTGAGAGGCCCGTGTACCGCAAAAAAAAACCCCAAAAACAAAAAAAACTTTACGTTTTGGCATGATGCCATCCCTTGCTTAGATCCAATACCACAAAAGTTTAGTTTATGCAATATCAATAAAATAAAGTCCTTGCAATATTTCTGATAGTAAGTGTCCCAAACAGAGTCCAGTATGTAATGAAGCATTTCACTAAATAGGTTCCAGTGACTTGGCATGAACATCACACCCCACTCTGTACACATTCCTCATCCTTCCCTTTGGAGAAATCTCACGTACCAACTGGTTGAAAGGGCTAGTTTGCCTGTTAGTAAGATCTTGGCAGCAAAACACTAAGGATAAGACAACCAGTGTGTATGAGAGTTGAGGGTGGGTTTCGCTGAGAATATCTAAGCTAAACTACAGCTAGTGGAGAACCTACATGTCAGTAGATGATTAGGTATTTGTGGCAAAACTAGGTGGGAGTCCCATTCCTTTTGTCCCAACACGCCAAAACACAGTTCTAGAAAATATCAACTAATGTATGGGGGCTGATCTGCTCAGTGCTATGTTTCCAGGAAAATATAGACTCTCATCCTTTTAATCCCCCAGGATTTGTCCTAGATGAGGATTTTTTTTCAAGAGCGGTATTCAAAACCCCCCAAAAGACAGAGGGTAATTGGAAAAGTCAGAAAGGAGCCCTAATTGATCCAGAAACTTTCTATCAGAAATGCTTGCCAGATGAGGAAAAAAAAAATGAATTTCTTTCTTTTAAAAATCTATGTATGTTTTTAGAAGGATAGATATAATTAACAGTATTCTAAGCAGTTTTCAAACAACTTGGAATTTACATCTTTAACTAAAAAGGAAAAAAAAATTCAGGAATATGCTTCCTTCCATGTCTCCCCCCCCCCCCGCCCCCCTTCTCCCATTTATAAAAGAGATCTGATAAAAAGGAACACCAACCTGACATGGGCTTTCAGGGCAATCCTAGACATCTGAAAATGCCATTCGAGTTCTTTGACATACATCATCTATTTTTGTATTTATGTATCTCTATGCTCTAGGAAGAGATGGGATAGAGGAGATTTACTTCTGAAACCGTATCTGATACTCACAGAAATCATTTCAGATTAGCATTTCAAATCTTTCTGCTTGTTTGTTTTTACACTGGTTGAAATGGCAACTTTCCGTAAAAAGAAGGTTGAAAACAGCATTTCTATTTGCTGTTCACGAAAAGGTCAGTGTTTCACAAGCCTTTTAACTACTGATAGGTCTGTCTGAGCTTTATCGTTTATTTGGGCTAGATTCCAGCTCAATAGCCCATCTGATGTGTTATTATTTTAAATATTCAAATTATTTCTGAAATGTAAATAACATCAAAATAGAATCAGCCTTTTATAAATGAAATTATCAAGTTATTATGTTGTGAAATTTAGAATCTTCATGGCTTAAAAAAAGAGGGTAGAAATTATTGGAGGCATTTTTATGAGACACCTGTGTAAGTCCAGTGCGTTACACAAAGTAACTCAGCAGTATAGAAACGTGTGCCAGAAGCATCCTTTTTTTTTTTTGGTTGCCAAAGCCAAAGGTTAGGCATGCTCAGCTTTGATTTTCATATAAACACTGAGAATGAGAGTGTTAATTGTTCTGTTGTTTCTAAGAACTGGGAATCCATCTTCTGTAAGGATAACGGCTTTCAAATATCTTAGACAAGGGTAGCCTGGGATGAGATCTTAACAATTTTCTTTTGGCTAATTCTCTCATTTTAAAATATGTTCTTGTCAGGCACATAGATAATTCTCACCCACATCATTATTTTAGCCATGTTCTTTAATTATATGAGTATCATGAGAATGGAAAATCTTTTAAGATGTCTTCCTCGGGAAGAAATTACAAATTTTAATGTTGAGTGTAAGAAGGTAGAGAATTATTTTTCTCACAACTAGACACATGGGCCATATCAGCTTTATCTTAAATATTTATATAATGTAGTCTTTTTAGGTGAAATTGTTTGAAAATGGTTATATATTTGGTATACATTTAAGAGAAACTGTTCCTTCCACTTGGAGAGAACGGAATCTTCACACTGGAGGATGGGTCACTGCAAACCTAGGATCATGTTTTTAGGAAAGATCTCCTTGGAGAATTTATCTATTGCTCTACCATGTGGCTTTAAGAAGTCTAATAACAAATGCTGTAAATTAAATGTGGGTTATTTCAACTTGGGAATGTAGGGGAAATGTCTTTGAAAATCTCTGGGCCATATCCTTCCAGGCAAATAAACAATTTCCAGTACAGAGGGCTGTATAATCATTCTAGTAAATTAATTCCCTTCTACACTACTGGATTTGGGTAGGTAGATCTCTTTGCAGTCAACAAATTAGGAGGGCTGGGCTCTGCATAAACTGTCAAAATTGACTCAGTAACATTGACGTTAGCTAATTTCTCTCTTGGTGTGTTTGGTTACTAATGTGAATTTCCCTACCATTTGCATATCATGAATGTAATAACTACAGAGAAGCATTTGATCCACTCACATTTCTTGGAGGCATGGAAGCTATATATGATGGGTTTCTATGGTTACACACTTCACGTTTGGAGATGTACGTGGGGGTCTTTATCCTCGACCCATACCTGCATACATATATAGAATAAAAGGCTAGGTACGTGGGCACTAAAACATGAAGCATGTGATCCAGAGAGGAACAAAATGAACAGTGCTGCTGCAGTGTGTAGCTGTAGGGTCTAATCCTGTCCTAAACATTTATAGAGATACCACTGTCTGATGCCTGTTTTCCAGGTGGAACATCATTATAGTTGACTTTCCAATAACAAGTTCACTTTCAATAAAACATGACCAGAGTATTTTTAGTATGAGCCTTTTCCGCATTGTTGAGAGGTAATAGTAAACACTACTAAGGGTAATGAATATGATGGGAATAGCCATGGAAGAACTACAAAGGTTGGAAATCGGGAAAAAAAAAAGGTTAAGATTGCATATTCCCAAGGGGACACCTCTCTGGATCTTCGAAAAAAGGTTAGACTGCATGATTTTAAAGAATGTGAGCAGGCTAAGCATCTGTAAAATACTGCATTGATTACCAGGCAATTCTGGGCAAGCAATTCTTCCTGTCAAGACATGGGTCATAATTCTAACTACAAAGTTATATTGCTTTTTTGAAGTTATAATGTTCTGTTCTACAAATCAATCAATCAATGAAAATAATTTATACAATGACCACTGATTTAAAAGTCCCATAGGAGAGTCAATGAGAGGACCTTTGACAAAATGGAAATTGGGAGAGCCTCTGAATGCATCTGTTTGCATATCTTGGCAGGGAAAAAGTCACAGCTAGATACTCACCCATTTCTCATTGGCTGGAATGCTGAAGCACTCTCTCCCTTGGGAGTCCCACCACTTAGTGGTTGCTCCTCCTATAGGTAAGACATTCTCTGCTTTGGGAGATGATTAACCATGGCTGGGTTAAGCTCTAAAAATTAAATGTCTCTTACAATTGTTTCCCCTTCCTATGCTATCTTTGCAGGTGAAATATCATCAGGACCGACCAACACTTGACGCATGTTGGGTGGAAGACAACGAATGTGGCTAGAGGTGATAAGAACACAATGGTTGGAAAGAAGAGCAGAAATGCAATCCATTACCAAAATCTGTAAGTAGATCTGAATGAAAGTTCATGAATCCACTCATCACAGCACCTTTCTTTCTTTGTAAGAGAAATATGATTTTTGTATGTCTCTTCTATGTCATGTGCTTGTTTATCAATTGAAATGCTCAGTTTTACCAACAGCTGGAATGTCTTGGCCAAGTGCAGTGATTACTACAACAAAAGCCAAATGCCATTTTTAGGTCACTGTAAGATCCAGTGTCGTACATGGTTGATCATGAAATGGCCAAGTATTCTTGAAGTTATGAAACTATACTCATGACTTGCTCTGGATATAACTGCCCATAATCAGACACAGACAGAAAACCATAATCAAAGAGAAACTACCCATCTTGAGCCAGGAAACACTGAAAGAAGTCTTAAAGGAGTTGATTTACATTCTTGAGATAGTGAAGTTTTGTCACCATTAGAGAATGTAAGGGCTTCATCATCTACCAGAGGAAACGTGTTATTTTTCTGATTGCTCCCACAATGTTCTCAGATGGAAGCAGCCAAGGTGAATCTCACTTTGACAGATTAGGAGCAGGGGCCCTGGGCTGTGGAATGAACAATGAATCTAGGCCCTCGTGGACAAGAGCATGTGTACAATGATCTTTTATTAATCGTGAGACTACTGCAGGGGAAGGTATTGCATCAGGAAGTCTGATTGCGGATGAGAGCCACCTATCAGAATAGCTGCAGAATTGAAGACAGCAGGCTTTATAAGAAAAAAATTATAAGAAGAAAAAACTGAGTGTGTTTATGCTGTGAGCCACAAAAGCAAAGCTCCATAAAACCTTCCCTGGTGGAAGGCTTGAATCGGAATCTTTGAAAGACTAAAATTAGCTTATAAGAGGTTAGAATCACTGGGCCACGGCATTTTGCTGAAGAGTTGCTCAACAGGCAAGGCTACTCTGGTCACTGAATTATTCCTTTTGCTGTTAAAGAAGTAGACGTTGGCTGCTCATTCTGTGTTAAACCAAAGATTGGGTCCCAGGAGACACACTAATTGTTGATCCAAGAAAATTACCTTCCCATAGGAAAGTGTTCTGCGTATGACCATATATGGATATAATATGGGAATTCTAAAGAATAACATGAGGAATTCTAAAGAAAAATTTAAAGACAATGAGATGCATGAAGTATCATTTATCTCAATATTCTGACCCTGTGCTCCTTTGGGACATTAAAAGGAAACAATGCATGACCAAAGGGTTGACATTTGCCAAGTCGAATACTGGGCATCTATTTTCTTTCTTTTGGATGAGGATACCAATTGCACAATAATACCTTTTCGGTCTTTATTTCTTCAAAACATGAAAGCAAAAGATGAAGTAGATGACAATGAGGAGAGAGAAAACATTCCATACAGAATATGCTGTATCGCTAGTGATTAAATCAGAAACAATTAGAAACTTTATTTGTCTGTGTCAATAGTGTGTACCATTTATAAGGAACAGCACAATTAGTGCACTTCCCCCCCAAGCTGTGCATAATACACACAAAATAATCAAACAAAATAATTTTACACGACTATAATTCCTAATACAACCCTGAACAACCAGAATCATATTTTCTCGAAAACATGAAAATTTAAAAAGCAAACAAACAAACCAAAAAGCTTTGAAGTTGACCAACGGCAAGGATTTCTTAAAGTCCTTTGTGAAAATTTGCTGTGGGATTATTAACATTCCAAATATGGCTAGAAAGGAGGGCAAAGTCTTTCTAATGTTTCAACAACTCATATCCCTTGACAGTTTACTTGGTGTTCCTAGGCTAGCTTTCTATTTAATAAATCTTCAAAAAAAAAAAAAAAAAGGGTTAGAGTTTGCCCTCAAAGGAGTTAGGCCACCAGTGTGTTGGGCCATGACAGGTAGGGGTGAGGCTGCAAGAGATAGGAGAAATTGTAGAGCCGTGGGGGGCATAGAAAAGCACTGCTGTCCAAGAAAGATAAAAATTGGGGTTAATTGGGCCTTCTCAGTGATTGGATCACCAGCACAATTGCCTTACTTGCTTTAAAATGGGAAGATGTGCAGATCTGCAAGACGGGCTAAGGATACATAGACTGCTTTTCGTACCCTATGCCTTATACTGTCTCAGTTAAAGACAATCTTAGATATTTAGACAAGAGGGTTTCAGAATTGTGTTTTTCTCGTAAGATCAGACTGTTTCCATGTGACTGCATTAACCCCCTCTGGGCAGGGATCTGGGCTGTCTTGTCCATGGTTTAGTCCCCAAGAGGTAGCACAGTACCTGGCATATTGAGTGGGTAACAAGCATTTAATTATTCATTCGGTCACCCAATGTTTATTAAATGATGAATGAGCCTGATGATTAAGTGGAAGAAAATACAAATTAAAATTGTTGAGAGTTAAGGATCTTTGAATCAATACAGAGGGCTTAGGGGTGTCTCCGGCCTGGGATTCTTTATGGCTAGAGAAGTGTCTGAGAGGGGACCTCAGTCATTCCATTTATACCTCATTCGTGGACTCATGGCTTTGGAATGTTGGGTTTATCCACCCTCTCTGATACTGTGAAACAGAAAGAGCCATTCCTTTTCCAGCGTTAAAAATCTCCCAGGGCAATGCTCCTGGGAGGCACTCATCATCCCATTTAATTGCTTCCTCCTTAGTCCTAAGTAGAGAAGATACACTTTTAAAGGCCTGTTGCTAACCACGGCTTCTTTCCTCCTCAGGAACTGCAGATACAATCAGAGGGGTCTGGATGGTGAAAGAAACAGGGCTCCAAATTGCCTTTTACATACAAAAATAAAATGAACAAACCAGCACGATCTACCGTCTGTGCCAGACAGAGCAGATGTGAAATAAATACTTTGGGGGCAGGGGTGTTGTGGGAATGGAAGCTTTCAAAGCTCAGGCACATCTAACGCATCCCCTTCTCTACATGCCCTTCTCCTTGGCCTTCCTGAACCAACAGGTGAGTTTTTGAGGCTCTGATGTGTACCAAGTGGCTAATTTTCCATGAAGATACTTTGCCTACTGTCCTCTCAATAGCTTTAACTTCCCATGTGACAGTTATTGCTTCTTAGAAATGAACATGCAGGTCCATGAATAAGCCATTTTCTCCTTTTATCCCTAATCAAACTCAATAACAACACAAAAGTTACAACTCAGGTGAAAAGAAAACTCACGTATGTCTTCAACGACCAATCAATCAACGTTGCCCGATGGGAGAACGGTATGTGCTATACTCTACTATGTACAGAGACGCTTGGTTTTGTTGTATTCGTTTTTCATCCATGCACTGTGTAACAGGTATCACAACAACATTCCCAAACAGGCCCATGAAGGAGGAGCAGATGTTCGGTCATGACTGGAACAGGAGTGTGCAGGCCATGGATGCTTTTGCAAACAAAACTGATGGACAATCCCAGGCAAGAGCAACGTGGGACTGGGACACACACTGATGCAAGTGGAAAAGGATGATGTGCTTTTGGAATGGGGTTATTCTTCCTGTTTGTATGAGGGGAGGTGAGCGGGAGGGTTGGGATGGGGGGGCCTGGGGGGTTAGCAGGGCTGGAACACCAGAATATAAGGGCCTTCCTAATCACAGTCCAGTGCTAAAGAGATAAGAAAGGATTTTGCATGTTCCTGGGAATCTAGGCGCGATGTTCCTGTACCTGGTGAACAAGCGTGCCAGGCCTATCTTTCACTATCAGACTCTATCTAGGACCATGACTTTTCTGGGCTCCATTCCAGCTGCCATGTTTCTTCCTGGAGGCAGCTTCACCTCTGCTCCCATCCCAGAGATGCGCATGCAATTTAGTTATATGGTGAAGACATGCTTCTTTCTTCTTCCATGCCCATTTCCTCTCTTAATCCAAAATAATTTTTTAAATGTTTGGGGGAAGGGAGAGTTATCGTAATGATTTCCATTTTTACCCGAAACCCATTTGCATTTAGATTGGTCATCACCTCCCACAAGAGAAGCAAAAACCCTGATCCTCCCCCCAAAACCAAAACAAAAGCCTAACATCAACTACCTCCCCAACCCCACCACCCCCCAAACAAGCAAAAACAAACAGAAAACAAATCAAAGACTTTACGATTTATGAACCCGGGGAGAACACAGCCCTCAGAGGCTGAGCTGCAAAGATGGCCCTGCCTCCACGCCTGGTTCAACGTGACGACGCCCCTGGGAACAGGAGGTGATGCCTTCTCACTCCGGCCCTAGTACAGAGTCTGCTTGTGAAGCTGGATTCCATCAGCAGGTAAGTGGACATGACAAATGTCAGTTTCTTCTGTTCGTTATACATAATTTTTTATGTATATATATGTATATATATATATAAATTTACTACATCTGATTGTTCCTTTAGAAGCCTTTTATGTGGCAGTAGGCCTCCAGGGAGGAGAAGAAAATGTACAAGAGCCACAGGAGCACAAAGAGGCAGGATGTGAGGAGCTTGGCAGTCCGGGGCCCACCCAGCTCACCTCCGATTTCTGGCCTCCGCCGATACAGCAGCACCCCGACATTGATGAAAGCAAAAATGGTGAAGAGAGTGACGGAGAAAGCCAGCGTGCCAGGGGACACTTTGAACTGTTCCCCGTTGGCTGCATGGTAGATGGCAGCGATGGACCAGGCCACGCCAATTCCCAGGAAGACATTCACTGCGTTGCTGCCCGTGACGTTACCTATGGACGCATCTGCGTACTGGTCCTGGGTGGCGGCCACTTTGCTTGCAAATGTGTCTGTGGAGGAAGAGGAAAAAGGCCATGACACTTAACCACTTAAAGAGGTCTGTGGAGTGCCGGCAGCTTCAGCTGCGTACTCTGGAATCAAACCGTCGATGGAGACCCCGTGACCAGGACAGAGCTTTGATGTTCCCTCGAGTCCCAGTCGTGTGGTCAGAACGACAGGATCCAGGTATCAGGACTTGCTGACTTATAGGTGACCCTGGTCAAGTTCCTTACCCACAGATACCACGGTTCTTTGTAACACTGAGTTTGCAGGGAGGCATGTTTCAGAGCGTTATCACGGCCTATCTACATCAGAATCAGATGGGGTCCTTCTTAAGAATGAATGTTACCAGGCTCCGTCCGGCCATGCTAGATCATAAGTGCCGGGACTCGGGAACATGCTTTTACAACATGCCAAAAGATTCTAGGTCAATGAAGTGTAAGAACGGCTGCTGAAGGGTATTACTGAAGGCTGCTGTATCATCAGCTCTAGTTTATAGATGAGAAGGTTCAGGGCTCAGGAAATATTTCCAAAGATTCAAGAGCAAGTCAGTGGTGGAAGTGAAACTAACTGACCCATGATAACAACTGACATTTGCCTAGAGCCTTACAAACAGGAAAACAGATTCACCTATGTTATTGTGTTGATGGTGACAACGGTTCTATGAGGAGAGGAAACTTTATAGGTGGGGATACTGGGCTCTGAGAGGTGCAGCATCACACAGCAAGGAAGAAGCCATGTGAAGGCTTGCGCTCACGCCTCCTGCCTTCATGCAAATGCTGTGCATCGTTCCATCTCACCCTTCCCTGGCCTGGCACGTTAATGGCCATCCTCAAAGCTCTTTGTTCGCCAGTAATCCTGTATGCATCTTTTCTCTGAAGCTGGGAAAATCATACATTTCCTTTCTCTACAGGGAGTAGGACAAGACTGACTTACACTTGGTGAGTAGAGCACCGGGGCTTAGTGCAAACCCGACTCAGAGGGTGTGGAATTCTGCCTGCACAGCGGAATGTGTGACCCCAGGCAGATGACTTAATTTTTCTGAGACTCAATTTCCTAATCTGTGAAATGAGGATAGTCAAGCTCACTTCAGAGTGCTTTTGTTAAATTGAGCTATTAGGGCTTCCCTGGTGGCGCAGTGGTTGAGAGTCTGCCTGCTGATGCAGGGGACACAAGTTCGTGCCCCGGTCCGGGAAGATCCCACATGCCACGGAGCGGCTGGGCCCGTGAGCCGTGGCCGCTGAGCCTGTGCGTCTGGAGCCTGTGCTCCACAACGGGAGAGGCCACAAAAGTGAGAGGCCCGCGTACCGCCAAAAAAAAAAAAAAAAAATTGAGCTATTATATGTAAAATGCTAACGTTTCTTTGTACAAAGCAAGAGTAGCTCCTTTTGGTGCTTTGGGAAGACAATGTGAATGGAGCTGCCTAGATCCATCTATTACAAGTTGACGCTGGATCTGAAATAGCTCCCTTTATTAAGAATGTGAACAGGACTTGTAAGATATTCAACTTCCTTTCTCTATGCTCACCTAGTTACTGGTATCAAAGTCCTTTCAGTTACCTCTGCAAAATACGTTGCACAGTCGGTTTAGAGTAGATATTAGTAACTGTCAAGTTGCACTCACGTTTGCGAAGCCAGCAATGGCAGGTATGCTGTTACCACAAGGCACTATGCTCTGAGCATGCGTGTAGTTGTGTGCGATCTGGATTACTCCCTCCCCTCTGTTGCTATTCGTTGCCACTTCCAATGAGGATGATACGTAAAGCACGTGCGTTTCTATCAGCCTGTAGATTCTTATGCTTTTGCCATGGGTGCTGAGAAGCTACTGGATCTGTGGTGTCACATTCTTTCTGAAAGGGAACTGGTTAACCTTGAGGGCCCATCTCCCTGATCCTGACCTGTCTGTGACGGAAAGCAGATTTTAGTTACTGTTTTATAAAGAGGCGGACTGCTTACTCTGTGCTACACATGTTACACGGATATTTTCATTCAATCCTCTTATCAACCTTATAGAGTAGATGTTACTATTTCCGCTTTTACAATGTGGGAAACAGCGATGTTGTGACAGTATGCCTCTTGGACAGGGTGTCCGTCAACAAAGCAAGGATTCTGAGACCAAATCTGTTTGATTTCAGAGCCCATTCTCACCCCAGACCACACTGCCCCTCCTAGGAAGGCTAAAGGTTTCCTTCCCTCTGTCCATTTCAGGTTGCCCTGTTCCTTCCACTCAGAAACCTTGAGACAGCTCCTTCCTGTATCCGTGAGAGCAAAGACTGAAGCAGGTATAGGCAGCTTGCTAACCCGTCCTGCTGGACGGGTGCTGCCTTTTTGCATTCGTGATCACGCACCGCAGCCCTGTCAGGACCATCACAACAGAGGCCGGTGAGTGAAAGCCCAGTGAGACCATCGTCACGGTCTCTTGCTGTTCATTATTAAGAGTTGTTAGGACCTGACATAGCAGCAGCCTCAAAAACAATGAGGTCATTTTGCTTTGACTTTTCGAGGACAGACAGCTCAGCAAGGAAAGTAAAGGAACAGAGTCTAAAGCGGGAGAAAACCACTTACAGCTCAGCTGCTGCTCAGGATCACCTGAGATGTTATTCTGCGCTGGCGTGGCTGCTGGCAGAGGCTAGTGACTGGGGGGTGCCTCCCCCCGCCCCAATGCTGCAGGGGCGGGGACCTGGCGTGTTCCACAGCTTACGCATGCATACCTCCCCCGGCACGCAGTGTGTGGCACACTAGACTTCCTGGGTGCCCCATCTCCACTCGGAAACCCTGGACTTTCTGGATGGCATCTCTGCTGCCGCCCCAGAAGGGAGTGAGGCACAAATTCAAAGATGTACTGGGCCCTCCTGGGTCTGCAGGGACTTCTTCTCCCTTAAGCCATTTCTCAATAGCCTATTAATGTGAATAGCGCATGAGAATTCTTGTAATAATAGGTTCCTGTTTACAAATGCCTTTCTTTGGATTCTCTGAAAATTAGTTGCCAAAGCGATCAGCTCCTCACATAAATGAAACATGTCTGGGCCTCTGAATCAGGGAGGTTTTCTTTTTTTTTTTTTAACCTGGGTTACACATCAGACCTTTGCTTTTCAATTCAAAAGATGGGTAAAAAAAATTGTAGGAACACAAGTAAATCCAAACCATCAGCCTTCACTGCAACAGAGACAACTCTGACTTCCAAATGAAGCGTGACGGAATCTCCCCAAACTACCTTCTCTCACCGCTGCTTAGTGCACAGAGCAGCAGACCACAGACTGCAGGCGAGGCCCTGCCAGGCCTGACCCTGAATGCCAAGCCCGCAACCTGCTATGGCTGAACAAGGCAAAAGCCACTCAAATGCCATTCCCCAGAGTGAAGTCCAAACAAGGACTATTGACATGGCGTGAGCGTATTCAGAACTTGGCCCGTTAAATACAAACATGTACGAATCAGATTGCCACTGTGATTGGTACAGATTTACATATGTGTGTACACCTGTACCTACGTATATACTTCAGGTTAGTATTCTAATAGTAATTTTTGCTTCTAACTCCCACCTTGAATTCTAATGAATTTTATTTTTATATTTTTCCTTCCTTATAAACATCTTTATTCTCAAACTTCAGTTCTGTTCATTGCTCAGCCATATTATAATTTCTTTGCAATGTCTTTTATTATCTAATAAGATTCACAATAGGAATAATCTTGGCAAATATCGATGGGGTGGACACATGGATTAGTCACTATTCTGAGCCCTTTGCTCAGCCCCTGTAAACTTCTTGACGGAAATGCAAGCGCTAAAATTATACTCTTTTTTTTTTTAGCCACCTTGTAAGGCATGCAGGACCTTAGTTCCCTGGCCAGGGATCAAACCCGCGCCCCCTGAATTCTAATACATTTTAAATTAGTCGTAGAGTTTTAGACTTTTGGTCCTGCCCCCTTGGTACCCACTGACAGGGAAGATTTGTTTGGGAGGCAGTGTGGCTGGAATTAAGCCATATGCTACAGTCAGGACATAATTGTTCTCTGCATCTAACCTTGGTGGCTAAGTCATCTAGTCAATATGCAGGGATATTGATTAGATATCAACACACTCCCCTTTCCTCCAGAAATGATTTTCTAACTGAACTTAAACTTTATTGCTACACACAGACTAAGCCTCAAACATCTCTTCTGTAAAAATAGTTCTTACAGCCCTGCAGGTCACAGGAAGGGTTTACGTATTGCCCAGAGTACCATCCCACGTGGTTTATCTTCGTCTTGACTCTGCATGTGCTGGGGGCCAGCTGTGCAACTCTCAAGTGCTTCGCACTCAGGAGCAGATTTTGACTGGAGCCCAGCCTGCTACGGAGGCATGGTTGCCGCCTCCCATCACCTGTGAATTACTGATGACGCAGGGGACAGACCAGGTGGTTCAGAGCTTCCTGCTGCGTTCGTGGGAGAAGTCTCATCAAGGGGACCCTCTGGGCTCTTCTGTCAGTGTGTTTTTGGGCAAGACACTCACTCTCTGGGGGGGGGGGGGGGTTCTGGTTTCCTAAGTCTACCGTTTGGGTGGTACACAGAATACATCAAGAGACTAAATTCATATATATGATTTTGGTGGGATTTTTTTCTTTTTTGCAGGCGTTTGTACATGACCACCCACCTTGCTTCAAATTGACTAATCAATGACCATGTCTCATTTTAAAGAATAAATGACCTAGATGAAATAGTCAAAGTGATCTCTAGACCTGAAGATCTTGCCAGTGATGAAACTGTGGCAATATTTATGGAGTTGAACCACACAGCACAGGGTCCTTTGACCTCTTAAAAATAGGTAAGAAATGTTGGCAAGGTTACTTACTTCAAATCACATGACCATTTCTATGAGTGTAGCCATGCAATAACTGGTGGCAGTGATGACTTTCAGATACTGTGTATCATGTCAGTCAAGTGTGCATATCACTGGCACTGGAAATACTGGGACAGCCTAGTTAAAAAAACGATGAAAATTTGGGGCTCCACCCTTCACCCACTTAATCAGACTCTGA